TGGCACTGTTTAACATTGCATTTGGTGTACTTGGGATTCAGTCGCTGATTAACAGGTCTATAAACAAAAGAATGAAGAGGAGCAAACTGCTTTATTTGACTTTCATCTGAAAACATTACTCGCGCCCAATCCAACGCTGTCCAGTCTTTGTGCTTTTGACAAAAGGCAATCCGATCCTTGATGTTCTTGGCAGAAAGCCTAGGTTTAATGGAAGGACGCCGGGCATGCAGGCTGAAATCAGAGGATAGTCTTTGTCTGATAGTTCTGGAGGAAACAGTAACAGAGGATGGCAAATTGTGTTGTATTACTGTGGATGATGACATTGGAGAATTAGTACAAGTGCAATGAATCAAGCAGTCAGTCTGCATAGAGGTACATTTTGGTCTACCAGATCTTTTTCGGGGAAGTTAAGCTGCCAGTCTGCTGCAATCAAGTTATTGTGTTATGAACTGCAGTTTTAGAAACAGACAAACGTTTAGCAATGCCTCTCTCAGTGTATCCCTCCTCTTTTAAAATACTGATCTGTGCTCGAACTAATATTTGTAACTCACACATTTCAGTGAAAGAAAATTAATGCTAAAATCAAAAATGAGAATTTGAAGCACAAACAGCAAATGCCAGATTCATTAAACAATAACTATATAAATATGCAATACAGTATGTATGTAATGCATGTATATAACAACATAATACCACAACAGCACTAATATGCGTCAATCCTAGGACACTTTCATGTTTATTATCTGCTATAAACTATTACGAATCTATAATTTGCCATCAAGCAGTAATAAACTAACGCAAATATCAACGCAAAAGCGAATAATGTGCATGGTTCATATAAAGTTCAAAGAAGTTATGCGTGCAACATACAACATATATGACAATTGTATTACTCATCAGTTTTCCTCACATCATCAGTGATGCTGACAATAAATTGTTGTATTCTGAATTATATTGAATTACTAATATGAATTATATTGGAAAAAATTGACATGGTTGTTCATTGAATAAAATTTTATGGTTAAAATCAGTTTTTAGTCTTTTTCAACCCTTGGTCTCAGACTTTTGTCCAATACTGTATATATATATAAAACTCAATTTAAAATTGTCCAATTTTAAATCGAGTTTTCTCAAAATACTATTTTATATTATTATATCATATAATCATGATCATACTAAATACCATGTACAGTTCTAAAACTGTTGGTATTGTCATAAAATGTTATAAAGAGAACAAAACTATAATCAGAAAAAAAGGTAAGTGGTAAAAAAAAGTATTATAAAAGGAAAATCTAAAAACTCACAAATCACATGAAAAAAATTAAAGAATCTAAATGATCACTTGATAGAAAAATGATGGCAATTAGATGCAGTAAAAATTTGCTAAAAATAGTAATTAAAAAAATCTGCATTATAGAAGACGAGGAAACTTACAGTAAAAAAAGATCACCGAATATTTATTTTCTATTTTAAAATACTAAAATCTTTTTTACTATTTTTTTATTTTATTCACCATCCCAGGGCCAAGAAAATCACTGCAATCAAGGAGGTTACTTTATTATTTTTACAACCCTCTTTACCTGTTTAACTCTAAAGAATGAGTCTTGACAGACAAAGCCACTGCGCAGAGAAACAAATTGCTTCCCGGTAATCCTTACAATTATTAGTCAAAACATCATTAAACATCTAACAGATTCAAGTCAAAATGTTTTAATGCATGTTCCTTTTACATCAGGCTTCTTGCAGTTATGGCTTTAAAAGCTCTCCTTTTATAACAAACCAAACTTTGACATTAGACCTACACATAACTGAATGCTTGAAAAAAATACTTCTTTTAATTTTTTTAATAAAACTTGAAATCAATCGAGTTTAAAATAGCACAAAATTTTTAAAAAAATTTTATAAAATGTTTTTTCAAAAAATCCTGGTTAAGCAATCAAGTGTGCAACTTACTTTACCTTGAATTGTTTTAAAAGCTATTATTGCTATAAACTTACAACTTGTGTACTTACATTTGTATTTACAGAATTTAATATCTTATTTAATACAGTATTAATACAGTATTTAATAATTTAATATAGTATTTAATACAGTATTAATACAGTATTTAATAAACTAAACATTATATATACCTCTAAGGTTCCACAATCACATTGTTCATCTTTTTCATGAATTCCATTTCCACAAACCTTTGTCAAAGGCTAAATTATATAAAAAGTTATTATTTGAAAATACTAAGTCAAGTTTAATGAATTGGTAAATGTTAAAAAAGGGTGGAAGTCCAACTATGTAAATTTTTTGGAAAACTAAAAAAAGCTGAATTTTCCCCCGTAGAAATTTTTTTTTAATGGTTAAATAATTTGTGTTTGTAGAAGATAATGTTTTTCACCTTCATAAAAAAATTATTGAAGCACTAACAAAAATTTACTACGGAGGAAAAATGCAGTTTATTTTATTTTCCCGAAAATTTACATTATTGGACTTTCACCAATTCAAATAAAACATTCACCAATTCTAATAAAAAAAATGTATATAAATAGAGACGTATGTTTTGAGAGCAAAGTCTTGGTCTTGAGGAGCCTCAAGACTCATTTAACTGTCTTGGTCTTGGTATTGGTCTGGAAGCTTATAGTCTTGGTTTGGTCTTGGTCTAGAAACCTAGAGTATTGGTCTTGGTGTTGGTCTTGAACCTCTACTGTTTTTTACTTTCTTGATTCTTCCTGCTCTTAATGAGAGTTTGACGCATTGGTTTGACAAGGCTCTAACTGAAATTTTTTTTGTTAGAAGAGTTTAAAAAAAAATCATTGATTTTTTTTTTTAATGTTTTATTAAAAAGAGATATAGGTATCAAGACCAAAGTCTTAGTCTTGACAACACCTCAAGACTCATATTTAACTGTCTCGGTCTTGGACCAACACAATTAAATATGAGTCTTGAATAAAATATGAATCTCTCTCTCATTTAATAGAGTTAATTTTTTAAACAATAAAAAAAAATTTTGGATGCAAAATTGAAATTATTTTGGATGCAAAATAGATAGTTTCATTTAATAGAGTTACTTTTTTGCAATATATATTTCATTTGGAATTAAATTTTAGAAGAAAAAAAAACATAAATTATTGCAGTTATGTAGATCCTAAAGAAAACAATCTTGTTTTTATTGTTCTAAGTTTCGATTTTGTCAACAATTCTGTTTAATATTTTCCATTACTGTATATAACAATATTGCTTTATTTTTTAGGACTCATTATGTTTTCATTTTATGGAATCAAATTTTAGCAATAAAACAACAAAACCAATATAAAAAACATCATATTTCTCTCTCTTTTTTCTCTCTCTCTCTCTCTCTCTCTCTCTCTCTCTCTCTCTCTCTATATATATATATATATATATATATATATATATATATATATATATATATATATATATATATATATATATATATATATATATATATATATATATATATATATATATATATATATATATATATATATATATAATATATATATATATATATATATATATATATATATATATATATATATATATATATATATATATATATATATATATATATATATATATATATATATATAATATATATATATATATAAATTAAAGTGACATCTTTAATAGTATGTGTAATTATAAGCATTAAAACATCATATATGGTATCATACTATTTGTTTCTTTTCTCTATAAGTGATATTTTGGCTCATATAGTAAGAGCCATTATCAAACTAATAAAACCAGTTTTATTAGTTTGATAATGCCTCTTACTATATGAGCTGAAATATCACTTATAGAGAAAAGAAATATATAGTATGATACCATATATAATGTTTTAATGTTTATATATATATATATATATATATATATATATATATATATATATATATATATATACATATATATATATATATATATATATAAATATATATATATATATATATTTATATGTATACATATTAGATACAAAACTTTAATTTCATTATTTAAAACATCTAAACAATACATACCGCTGCAGGATAATTATAAAGGCATGGGTATTCATTTGCTTTAAAAACTGCCATACTGCAGTTAGAAAAACCTGGTCTACTAGATCTAAAAACGTTTTATTGAAAAATTTAATTTAAACAAACTAATACAAATTCAATATGATAAATGCAATATTTAGTTGTAATATATAACTATATAACATTTTATAACTTATATATAACTTTTAAACAATATTATATATATATATATATATATATATATATATATATATATATATATATATAATATATATATATATATATATATAAATATTATTTTTAATTGTATAAGATATAGTCATACAGTATAGTTATTAGCTAATGTAATAATAGTTTGTAAATAATTTATAATAATATATATATATATATATATATATATATATATATATATATATATATATATATATATATATATATATATATATATATATATATATATATATATATATATATATATAATATATAATATTTTATATAATATAATAATATAATATTTAAAATATTAGAATTAATATTAAATATGTTAGAATATTACAATATAGTTAAATAATAATATAGTTAAAAATAAAAAGTTCAAAAATTTTGAAAAAGTAGCATTGAACTAAATACATTGTAGAATATTTTATCTTTTTTTTTCTAAATAATAATTTTCTAAATTTCTAATAAACTTTACTCCACAAAAAAAAGATTATCAACTAACAAAATATCAGAAACTTACTTCTCGCCACCCATAAAACATCCCCTTGTTGTCAAACATTTAGCAGGTTCTGCGCATGCTAAAAAATGGTTTATTATGTATATTTATATATTGAAATAATGTAGTTTATTGTAAAGTATATAAAATATGTGAACATTTGTATGTAAATTTCTTAGCGTTGCGTATAATAAAAATTAGAATAAAAATATATTAAATTCAAAAAATAGCTTTTGTTTAAAATTATTTTTCAGTCATTGATACTTAAAATTTATTAGTTCTTTATGGCTATTAAATAAATTTCTACTTTATATATTATCAAGTTATTATATAAAGGTAAGAGGTTGATAACTTAAAATAAAATGCTATTTTAAGAAGCTATATTGTTTTTGCTTCCTCTTATAGTAAACAAGAAAAGTATGATAATAATATAGCATATAAAATTTAATTTAAGAAAGATTCTTACAGTCATCATGATTAAATCCCATATTGTGTCCAAGTTCATGACCAAGTATAGTTGTTGGACCACTTATGCTATCATAGCTCCACTTAAATAAATGGAATTGAAATGTTTTTGAAAATTGTACATAAAACTTCAAAAACTTTTTTGTGTACTCACATGTTGCATGTTTCTTCAAAATATATCACACGTTCAAATAAACACATTACATTGCAAGACAAAACATGTCAAATGTTTATAAAAAATATGTCACATGTTCAGACAAAACATCTCATATGTTAGACAAAACATCTTACATGTCTATACAAACTATTCATATAAAGCATGTCTTACATCTCGTTTCCTTTCAAATTAATTTTAAAATTTATATTTTATTAAAAAATTGTAAAATAATTTGATTAATAAACAAAAAAACTTACAGCATTCACGTTTCTTGAATTATCACTACACTCAGCATTTACATTGGCCATTCCCACTGAATCTGACCAACTGTTATCACTAAATAAACCAAAAAACTTTACAAATAATAATAATGATAATAAATATAATAAAACATATAATAAATAAATAATAAAACATATAATGAATATTAATAATAGCAAATACTAAACCATCATTTACTCAAAAGTGAGTTCAAATATGATGTAATTGAAAATGACATATAATTCACTTAGTATAAAATCAAAATTGTAGCATCAATAACAATAATAACAACAATTAATAATGATAATCTAATAATGAAATAGTTATTTAATAAGTAATTACTTTTTGTTTTTACTTTTTATATGCATAAAAGAAAATACAAATGCAGTAAATTGTTAAATTTTAAATCCAAATTGAATTGATTTTGCTTTTTAAAAAAAAATTGTTTAAATTTTAATAGAGATCTAGTTTAAAATTAAAATTTATTATTATATATAATTAGCAATTAAAAAAAAACATAATCAGGTATGTTTAGTTTTTTTATTTTTAAACTTTAGTATTGTTCGCAAAGCTTTTTTTATAAAATAGATTTAAAAGTTTTATTGCTAAAATTTGATTCCATAAAATGAAAGCATAATGTGCCCTAAAAAATAAAACAATATTGTCTGATATTGTTATATACAGTCATAGAAAATAATTTATATAAATTGCTATTTATTTATCATTAGTTATTTAAACTATACATGCCTTTAGTTTTAGTTTTTGATCCTAAAACTTACTGAATGTTATGTTAATATGAAATAATTATATATACATATACGTTTTGTATTATACTATATATACTTTATGTATTTTGTAATTTTGTAATAGACTAGTATTAAAGCTCTTTTAAGCCAACATAATTAATTTGGTTATTCTTTACAATCAAAACAGCTAAAGTATTATTATGAAATAATGATTCTATTCATGAAACCTGATGGACTTGGTATAGATTCGAACTCAACAGATGCAGCAAAAACATAAACCATTGGTTAAAAACATTTTACAATTTTGTAAGAAACAGTTGATGATAACTCCATTAAGCTTAATCTCCTAATAAACCATATTGAATCTAATGTCTATGAAATCATATCAGAGTATGATAATTTTAAACAAGCAACAAGTATTCTCGAGTCTATCTACATAAAACCAAAGAATAAAATATTTGCCAGACACATTTTGTCAACACGGAAACAAAAATCAAGTGAATCAATAGATCAATTTCTAATTGAACTTAAAAATTTATCTAAGGACTGTAAGTTCATTGCTGTTAGTGCTGAGCAATATAAATTTGAAATTATTCGCAATGCTTTTATAAATGGCTTACTCTCCAACAGTATACACCAACGTTTACTAGAAAACAAGATACTAGACCTTTCATCAGCCTTTGACCAAGCTAGATCTTTAGACGTGGCCCAACAAAATTCAAACTTGTACTCATAATTGACTATACCTGCCTCTATTCAGAAAATCAAATCATCTTTACAAAAACAATCCACAACTGATAAATCAGATGGATATTGTTATGTTTCAACAACTCCTAAAAATAAAATCTATAACAAAGTCAAGTTGCAAGTGCTAGATAACTTATGTATAGATATTTTTCTTGGCACAGATTTTCAAGAGTATTACTATTAAGTATGGTGGAAAAAGACCACCCATAACATTTGCAGCATTAACAACAATGAAAACTGAACCTCCTGAATTGTTTGCTAATCTCACTAAAGATTGCCACTAGATCTAGAAAATATTCTCAAAGAGATAGAGAATTTATTAAATCTGAAATCCACAGCCTAGTCCAAGCAGGAAAAAAAAGAGCCTTGTAATTCACCTTGGTGTGCCCAGGTCTTAGTAGTAAATGAAAAGACTAAATGTTGCATGGTTGTTGATTATTCTGAAACTATTAATAAGTATACCCAATTGAATTTATATCCTCTAACAAAGATTGAAACGATTGTAAGCATAACTTCCAAATACAAAATTTATAGTACTCTTAACCTTTGGTCAGCATACTACCAAATACTTTTATCAAAAAAAGATCAACTATATACTGCTTTTGAAGCTGACATTAAGTTGTGGCAATAAACTAGAATGCCTTCTAGAGTTACCAATGGATCTGCATGTTTTCAACGCAAAATAGATGACTTTATTAGAAAATATAAACTAACTGACTGCTTTCCTTTCATTGATAACATTAAAATATGTGGTAATAGTAAGAAAGAACATGTTGAAAATCTCCTTAAGTTCAGATTAGCTGCCATTGATGGTGGAATTACATTTAATGAGGAGAAGTGTGTATTTTCAAAAGAAACTTTAGAATTTTAGGTTACTGTATATCTTTATGGCTCTTTAAAACTAGATCCTCAGAGACTTGCTCCTCTCATTAAGTTACCCCGACCTGATAATGCAAAGTCTTTACAACGTATTATTGAAATGTTCTTGTACTATGCAAAATGGATAAGAAAGTTTTCAAATAAAATTAGACCTTTAAACTCTGTCACTCAATTTCCACTCAATCAGTAGCAAATATCAGTATTTTAAACATTAAAAAATGAGCTTGTTCAATCTTCCAATCAAACGTCCAATCAAATGTTCAATCTTCCAAAAAAATCATTGACGAAAATATACCTTTTACTGTGGAGACTGATGCTTCTGATTATCCCATATCTGCCACACTTAATCAGGAAGGAAGACCTGTTGCCTTCCATTCACGAACCCTTCAAGTGAGTGAACAATACTATTCATCATTGGAAAAAGAAGCTCAAGCGATAGTTGAAGCCATAAATCATTGGCGCCATTTTCTTTTGGGGCAACATTTCATTCTCATCACTGACTAACAATCTGTGGCATTTATGTATGATTATAAATCAAGCAGTAAAATAAAGAATGATAAAATAATGCATTGGAGAATGGCTTTGTCTCCATATTCTTATGATATCCATTATTGTCCTGGCCAATGTAATAGTGGTCCAGACACATTTACTCGAGTTAGATGTGCAGCAATAAGTTCAGAATCTTTATATGATTTGCATGCTGCACTTTGCCATCCTGGTGTTACTCGCTTCCATCATTTTATTCAATCAAGAAACCTCCCTTATTCAGTAGAAGATTTAAAATAAATATGTAGGGATTGTAGAATATGTAAAGAAATAAAACCTAAGTACTACCGCCAAAATGATGTGCACTTAATTAAAGCAACTCAGCTATTCAAACGTATATCTATTGTCTTAGACGAATACTCACATTTTCCATTTGCTTATTCTGTAAAAGTAGAAATATGACAACTCAGACAACAATAAACTGTTTAGCTGATCTTTTTTTCATGCTTTTTTCATGCCGAGCTATGTTTATTTGGAACATGGATCCTCATTAATGTCTTCTTAATTAAAGCACTGATTCTTATCAAAAAGGATCCGAACTAGCAGAGCAACCCCTTATAATCCGACTGGAAATAGGCAAGTTGAATGATACAAAGGAATTATTTGGAAGCCGATATTACTCCCATTGGAACAACTCCTGTAGTACAAACATCAAATAACAATTTAGAAGTAACAGCTTTTGATAACTATCCCTTAACCCCTATTGGTAGCAATGAAACTTTTTTAATCTCCATAAGAGAACTAGAAAACAAAATGAATCCTATAGAGCAAATCAACCTGCCTCCTCGTAGATCTTTACGAATTGCTAAAGCACCAGAAAAACTCAACTTATAAATACACTTCATTCACATGTCACACGTCATTCATCAAAGTCACATCTTTTTACATTTCTAATCTTGAATTTTCTGAAAACTTTTATTCGTCATTTTATAGTTTTTTTCCTTGTACCTTAATTCTTTGGAATTCTCTCCTATCTTCATTTTTTCCTGGCTCACACAAATTAATTTTTTTTTTCAACTATTTTCTTGCTCTCTTAGAATACTTGGTATGTGAACACTAAGAATAATTTGTTTTCACTAGGGTGACCATTGTTCCAGTTTTTACATAGAAGAACGTAGAGCTAAAGTAACTTTAATTAGTTTAGTGCCGTGCTCTCCTCTAAAAAAACCGGGACAATGTTCACCCTAGTTTTCACCCAACTTACAAAGTAGCTGCTTGCAGCCTTGTTGAAAGTAAATTAGTCACACAAAAAAAAATTATAAAATATTAAAAACAAAATTTTAAAGTCATGCTAAAAATAAAGTATTTTTGATTAGTTTGCTTAAAATAACATAATTTTTTAACAGGGAAGTAAAACATAAAACAAAATATTAAAAGTAAATATAGAAGCAAAGATGTAAAAAAAAAAACATCATTTTGACATTTATGACTAAACCTTATAAAAATTTAAACAGTTTATTTTTTGATAGTATTATTTAATTATTTGAAATTAGCTATAAAAATAAACAAAAATGTTAGTTGGTTAAAATAGGCCGGGTGAACGAAAAACAATTGCTTTTACTCAGGGCTTTTAAAACAATTGTTCAGTTTTATGTGAATAAAAATTTTAGCAAACTTGCTCAAATTTTATTCACATAAAGCTAACCAATTAACTCCAAAAAGGCTGAGTAACTGTTTAGCTTTAAAAAATTGCTGAAATTTTTTTATTAATGAAAACTGACCAGTTACTAAGTAAAAACAATTCGTTGTTGCACAGGCAATATGGCCTAAAATTATTTCGGTATTGAGATACGCACACAGAGTTTTTCATCACCAAAATTCATTTTACATAATAATGTTATATTACATATTTCACATATAAGTAAGCAACTGATATGCCTTTGGAATGAAAAATCCATCTGTGATTCAGTTTTTTATTCACCCGACCCAATCACTTTTGATTTTCACAAGCAGTTCACTGTTTCTGAATTAACTTATTTCTACTTGGCTATAGTAACAAAAGAAGATTTAAAATTTCAGCATTTTATCAAAAAAATAACAATACCAATAATCCAAAAAATTACCTTAAAAACATGGCATTATCAAAATTTACATCTTTGAATGGTGATGTTTTAAGTATTATATTGTTAACATAATCTTTAAAAGATACTAATTCAGCTCCACCAGTTGAAAACCGAGTAAATGCAGGTTCATTTTCTTGAATATCAATTGCAACAACTACTATCCGTACATTGATAGCTTGATAGGCCTAAAAAAATAAATATTTATATAAATAACTTGCATTAAAAAAAAAAAAATTCATAATAAATAATTTTATGACATTATTATGTGACATTATTGTGTGATAAAACATTATTACACAATAAAAAAAAAAAATTTTCACAATAAATGAATTGATGAATGTTAAAAGGGCAGAAGTCCAACAATGTAAACTTTTGGGAAACTAAAAAAAACTGCAATTTCCCCTGTAATAAATTTTTGTTAATGGTTATTTCCCCCGTAATAAATTTTTGTTAATGGTTTAATAACTTTTTTTTTGAAAGTAAAAAACATATTTCATATTAAAAAGTAATTTTTAATATGAAATATGTTTATATTCTCTTCAGAAAAAAAATTATTAAGCCATTAACAAAAATTTACTATGGGAGAAAAAGCAGTTTCTTTGATTTCGAAAAATTTACGTTGTTAGACTTCCGCATTTAAACATTCACCAATTCAAATAAGATAATAACTAAAAAAGTTAATAACAAGCTTAAGACATTAAAATAACTTTAATAACAAGCTTCAGACATTAAAATAATTTTAATAACAAGCTTCAGACATTTTTTTTTTTTTTTTTAATTATCTTCGCTTCCAACAAGGCTGCAAGCAACCACTAATTAGTGTTGGAAGTTACTGGAAGAGAAAAGATGAAGATTGTAGAGCAAGATAACGATTGACAGAGGACTTAAAAGATTGCAAATTATATGAATCAGGAAAGCAAGATGAAGGAAGCGAATTCCAAAGAACTGATGTTCGAGGAAATATTTTATTTATAAACATTAAAATAATTTTATTAACAAGCTTCAGATATTAAAATAATTTTAATAACAAGCTTCAGATATTAAAATAATTTTAATAACAAGCTTCAGATATTAAAATAATTTTAATAACAAGCTTCAGACATTAAAATAACATCTGACTTTAAATCACTTTTGGCATCACTTTTTAAATACTCAAAAACAATTAATTATATAATGTATTGCACTTTTGAAATTGTGTTCATTTATTTAACAAGTATGTCACATTTTTGAACTAAAAAACTAAAAAATTCATAACAAAAAACATTTAAAAATAGACACAAATAAATAGACATAAACCTTGTCAATTTGAGCAAATGCATTTAAAACTCTTTCTATCAATAAATCACGATTGTTGTTGTATCTTGGTAGCTAGACAAAAATTTTGTAATAAAAACTTAAAACTAAAATTAAAACTACACAGTTGTTTTATAATAGGTTTTTGAACATTTTCTAAATTAATGAATTGCATTGAACAATAAAAATAAAAAGAATAAAAATGAAAAAACTTAAATGAAATAAAAATATTCTTTAATTAAATTTATTCTTGTAAGTTGATTTCTATTTAAATCATTTCTTTTAATCCATTATATATTGTTTTATTAAAAAAAAATGTTTGAAAAACAATGAGTTTTTATAATGTATAACAAAATTTTAACCTCTGTATCTCTTTATCATAGTAAATTATGCACCTAGCTATGCTTAGTATTGAGAACATCACAAAATAGTGATTATTTAATATAGTCTTAAAAGATATCAAATTTGATTGGACCAAAGAAGAGAAGAAAGTATTATATTTTTTTTTTTAAATAATTTAAAAAATAAATAAAAGTTTGACTGTGAAGATTTTGTATTTATAAATGAGTCAGAGGCAAAAGTTTGGTGGGTTTCCAAAAAAATATTTTGATGTGTAAGATCCAGATATTTTTAGACTTTAGAGCTCTGCTATTAATTTTCTTACAAGATTTAAATGTTGTTTATTATACTATTAAATGTACAAATGTAATTATTAAGTAAAATTAAGATATTAAATAAGTTTTCACAATTTTCCACAATTAAACTACAAGATCTTGAAGGATAAGATTTTGTTATATGCAAATGATTTGCTATGTACAAATGTTTAATCAAGATAAACTGCATTCTTAAAGATAAACTAATATCTAATGGATAAAATTTAAAAAAATTGCATAAATCAATTTATGATTAGTTAACACTTGGAGTCTACTGCACGGCTTGATCTTGATTTTAATTTTAAATGCTCCAGTTAAAATGATTTTTAACTGTTTTTACATTGACAACATTGTTTTTATCTAATACAGCTTTAATTATAAAATTAAAGAGTTTTAAATATTTAAACAACTTGCAACATAACTGCAACTAACAAAATAAAACCTCTTAAGCAAAGAAAAAATGTTTGGGGGTAAGCAATACATTATAATTAAATAAGATAATTAATAATGAATGGCAAGATAATTACGTCAATGAACTAAATCAACTTAGCTAAGATATAATGCACTGAATTTTTCTTTTTAGATAATTAATTACCATTCTGTGATCACAACTAACAAATGCTTCTACATAAAGTGTTTCATTTCTAATGTAAGGTAAGTATTGGGGTTCAACATCAACTAACTCAGGTGCAGCCTAAAATAAAATAAAAATATCATAACAATTTAAAAAATGATTAAAAAACATTTAATGACAACTTTTTTACTTACTTTTAAGGTATCTGATAATAAAATACTTCTTTTCACCTTCGTATATTTCTTATCTTGATTAGCTTTTTCTATGAATTTATATAATTTATTTGTAAGTTTATATATATATATATATATATATATATATATATATACATATAATATATATATATATATATATATATATATATATATATATATATATATATATATATATATATATATATATGTCTATATATATATATATATATATATATATATATATATATATATATATATATATATATATATATATATATATATATATATATATATATATATATATATATATATATATATATATATATGTATATATATATATATATATATATATATATATATATATATATATGTATATGTTTATTTATACTTTGAACAAGCATTTAGCTTGTTCAAAATATAATATAAACATAAAAATATATATTTAAAAAATATTTTAATACTCAGGAAATTTTTTTCAAAAACTTGTTAATTAAACAATTTATAAACTTTATGAAATATAATATCATCAATATAACTTTCTCTTCGAAACATCAAAAAATTTGTTGAAACTTTTCAATGTTTTAAAGAGAATATGATATTGATGAAAGATAAAGAGAAAATGCCAAATGATAAATTAACATAAAAAATAATAATTTGTCAAAGCTATTTATTTTTATTTTTATTTTTTCTTATATTAATTCTAAGTTTAAAATAAAACTTGAATAAAGACTTTTTTTCAAGTTTTGTATGTATAATAAAGATCAACTTTCGAAAATAACTTTTAAAAATAAAATTGAATAAAATTGGTTATATTGGTGTCACTCCTGATCAGACATCTGTATGGTTGACACAATTTTAATGAATCATTGACTTATTATTATAGATAGTGTTATGCTTATAATATTATTAATACTATTGTGAAAATGATTTATGGGGAAAAAAATAGCTCGTTGTTGTTGTTGTTGATTGAATTTAAAACCTTAAACTTGATCAGCAAAAATAACCAAGATTCTACCTTTAATCTAAACTGAAACTCAAAACACACAGTAAACTAAAACTCAAAAAACAAAGCAAACTGAAACTCAAAACACAACGTAAACTGAAACCCAAAACACACAGTAGACCTAATGACAACTATGGTAATAATTCAGTGCAAATGTAATTGTCAAAACTAAGGTTAATCATTCTACTCATATTTACGTTCAGAATAAAATCTATTGAACAAACAAAATCTTTAATAAAGATAAAACCATATAATATACATACTAATTTATCAATGTTATTCTTAATACAATTTAAGTAAACATTCAAGTTAATCTTAGTTCTGATTTTTAAAACAACTGATTTTTAAATGATTTTATTACTTTTAATTATCGTTAGTATAAATTTTTTACATCTTGCACATAAGTATAAATGCTAATAACTTCTAAACAATTAAATAATGATTGTCTATTATGGTATAGCACATTAAAAATGTTTGTTTATTAAGCTATGGCGCATACTATTTCAAAACAAGTTTTAAAATATGTAGACATAAAATCTCTATAGTTTAGGAAAACAAAGGCTAAAGTTCACTTTGTACATTTTACACAAATATATTTATTCCATATTACAAATAAATCTTTTTCTTGAATGCATTAACTACAATTTTTGTGTGTATTTAACAACAATCCAAGTGTTTATTGAAGAATACTTTGTTTAGTTTCGTATAATACTTTGAAAAGTTTTTTTTCTGCATAATTTTAAATATACATTGTTGTTTTTATATAAAATAAAAATAATCAAATTTTTTTATAAAGTTACCATAAACAGCAGAATTCCTCAGCTGTTTTTTGATCTTCTTAACTAGATTGTCAACATTGCGATAAAAATGTTTTACTCTATCATCCTTAATACAAAATAAAAAAAAAACCTAAATGAACAACAAATAGTATTTTTTATGCTGTATAATACACAGATAAACTTATAAAATATGTCAAGTAAACAAAATAACTTATTTTATTATACTATATATATTGTAACAAATAAAAAATACATGTGGTATTATGTCATATCGTGTTTCACCAATATCAATTGTTCCCCTAAAAGTATTTAACATAATTAATTTTTATTATTAATATAACAAATTTATAAGTAAACAAGTACGCTTCTAAAATGCATGCAAAAAAGTATATACATTATTCCACCACTGCATGTACTTAGAAAAACATTTGAATCCTTTATTCCACGCACTTTTCCTTCATAGTAGCAGTTTTCAGGATAATGCTAAATATGTATATATATATATATATATATATATATATATATATATATATATATATATATATATATATATATAGAGAGAGAGAGAGAGAGAGAGAGAGAGAAAGAGAGAGAGAGAGAGAGAATGAGAGAGAGTAAAGATATATATATATATATATATATATATATATATATATATATATACATATATATATATATATATATATATATATATATATATATAAACACATATAAAACAATTTAAAATAGAGTGTTCAGTAAGGCTAAGATTAAACATCTTTCTACCGATTTAAACCCTATCAAGATTTTAATTTCCGATAATAATGTTAAAAGTTTACTTCTATCTTTTATAGCAAAAAGAGTTTTTATAACTTTAAATATTTTTTCTGTTAACCCAATAAATAGCATCACTTTTTATTGAGATGACTTTTCATGTTACAGATGTAAATAATGTATTTGTATAAGCATTTTCAGTTTATTGGGAATAAAAAAATTTATTGTCAGTTGCATAACTGAAGATTATTTTTAAAAATACTTCATAAGATTTTTTCATCATGAGAATTTAAGTTGCAGTATATGGAAGACAGCTAAAAGACAGTAAAAAAAAAAGCTTTTAACAATGTACAAAGCTGTAAAAAGCTTTTACAATGTACAAATGTGTGTATGCAGTGAAGGATTAAGAATTTTCAGGGCTCCAGGCTATTTTGTAGCAGGAGAACCCTTTTGAGTTTGACGCAACTAGGTGTTGGGTGGATGGTGTCTTGCTGACTTGAATAAAAAAAAGTTGTAACATATTATGATGTTTAACAAAAAATGTACTATTTGGTTTTGAATTTTTTTGATAAAAGTTTTCCAAAAAATCATTATTTTATAAATTTTTAAATTGAAATAATGTAAAATTTACATTATTTCAATTTCAAATTTATAAAATAATAACTTTTTGGAAAACTTTTATCAAATAAATTCAAAAAATATTAGCTATGTTTGTTCTGAAATTAAATAAAAAAAGATGGTTAAACCAAATAGTACATTTTTTTTTAAACTTCATATTATGTTACAACTTTTTTTTATTAAAGTCAGCAAGACACCATTTACTCAACACCTAGTTGCGTCAGATTTAAAAGAGTTCTCCTGCTACAAAATAGCCCTGAGCCATAAAAATTCTTAATCCGTCACTGCATACATACATACATACATACATACATACATACATACATACATACATACATACATACATACATACATACATACATACATACATACATACATACATACATATACGTACATATACATTCATACATACATATACGTATATATATATATATATTATATATATATATATATATATATATATATATATATATATATATATATATATATATATATATATATATTTCAATTTTAAAAAAACATATCAATAAAAATAAAAAAATGCATTTTAATATACCTTTACAGCAACTTCCTTTTCATTTTCTGAAGATCGAAGCCATATAAACTTTTGATGTGGTTCTCTATTAAAAAAATTAAAAGTTTAAAAATTGATTATAAATAATTTAAATTTACAATGAAAATAATTCATACTTAATCTTTATTAAATCCAAAAAAAAATGATCATATTTTGATTTGATTTCATACGTGACATGATCTTCATGATTTCCATGCTTAAAAAAAATAATTGTAAAGTATATAGTAAAAGAAATAAAAAATGTGTTTTTGAAATATTTTAAAATCGAACATAATTATAAATTTAGCTAATTTTTTTTTGTTTCTCCTTCCAAGACTAAGGGAGCCTAAGCTTTACTTAAGTAGAGGAGGATAATTTTATTTAATAAAAGTTTTTTTAATATAAAAATATTTTTAATATAAAAATGCTGGCAGGGCTGCTGTGCAAGAAAACATTTTAAGTGATGTACTATAAAAGACATAGTATAGCTTCAACTTTGCACAGCTTGTTTACATAGGTAGTGCATTACCGTGCACCATTATTGAATAATTACTGCAGTAAGAGATCCTAAAGTGAGTAAATATATTAAATAAATGAAACAATTTTTTATCCAATTAAAATACTTTTTTTAAGTTGACTTTGATTAACTAATCTCTACACTAATCTCTTATGTTGAACAGTTTCAAATGTTTGATGAAAATCAGTCACTTTAAAAAGCATCAACTGAATTGCAAATCAGTGATATATTATGAAATCAAGTAATACTATTATGTTATTGTTTTTACCTTATAAAAAATGCAAAAATGTTATTAGACGCAATATATGCTATTTTATAAACTTGTCACTTGTAAATTTTTTTCCAGACTTTGCAACATATCATAAACTTTTTCCCAGAGTAAGAGGAGGTCATTCTTTGTTAAACTTGTCTTTTCCTAAGCTTTGGTTTTTAACACTATCCAAGATACATATTATAAACTGCTATTTTATAAAAGACTTGGTGAACCAGCAAAATGCAATAATCGAATATAAATCTACTATTTTATAAAAAGTAGGTGAACTAGCAAAGTGTAATAATCAAATATAAATTCTTTTAACTCTTTGATTTTTATGGAACTATATGGTTATATGAACTAAATTGATTTTTATGGAACTTTAAAACTAGGTGAATGAAAAGTTTTCAATACAAACAAACAACCAAGGTGATAAGATAGACATAACAAAAAGATGAGATACAAGATAACATAAGGATAACATAACATAAGTTTAAGACAGAACTAACAGAATAACAATAAAAGACTTGACAGAACAATAACTCAAACAAGAATGATTTTTTGGGGGGAAAAAACCCGATGGGAAATGAGCTTACTAGCTAGCTTTATAGCAATTTTTAAGCTTTTTTTTTTTCTTATTTTATTTTTTTCTTATGTCTTTAACATCTTTAAAAACTTGATTTTTAGTGTTGAGTCTATTATATTTTTGAGAATAATTGAACATTAAACATTGAGATTTTGTAGCAATGTGTCGTTAACTACATATCATAGCTTTGTAGCTAGCTGCAAAATATCTGCAAATCTATAGCTGGTTGATAGCTACATATCAAAATTTTTTAGATAGCGATTTTATAACGATATGACGCTAGCTACAATAGCCAGATTGTTAGGCTGTCTTCGTAGTCAAACTGCTGTTTTTATCTTTACAAATATCGATAGCTTTTCGCTTACTTAAAAAACCTGTGGCCAAATCGCTGTTTTTATTAAGCATCCGCGTCTTCTCGTATCCTATCGAAAGTTCAGTTTGACACGGTACGAAACAACTATTTTTGTTTTGTGCCGTTTTTACAAAACAACAAAATATCAGATCACTTTGTACCGTATTTTATACAAAACAAGATAATCTTGTTTCGTTTCGTACCGTATTTTTACGAAACAAGAAAATTTTGTTTCGTTTCGTATAGGTTTTTACGGAACGTTTCATAATTCCCCCGCCTAAAACATATATTTTACGATTCCACACCCCCGACCAATACATGAGCTTTAACATTCAAGCAGAATAATGCGCGTTTAATACTTACAAATTTATGTTTGCTAAACGAAAGTTTAACTAAAAAGTTTAAAATTATTTTGTTTCCTACCGGTTTTTACAAAACAAGAAGTTGTTGTTTCCATTTGTACCGTATTATTTACAAAACAAGAAAATTTTATTTCGCTTTGTACCGTTTTTTACAAAATTGTATTGAAATTGTTTCATTTTGTACCAGTTTTATCAAAATAATATTTTTTTATCGTTTCGTCTTGTTTTGACTTGTACCGTTTTAAGACGCAGATGCTTAGCCTCTATCGTTACGATTATAGCTAGCTATTCGCTAGCCAATTTTCTATTGGGAAAAAGACAACACTATATTAATAAAACAAATAATGTTAAAACTTGGCTGCTAGAGCAAGTCTAACTATGTTTACTGTGTGTTTTTGCATATTATGAATGAAAAAGGACATTCTTTTGAAATCTATTTAAGAGGTGACAACACTATTCTCATATAAATTTCGTTACGTATTATAACGTAATCAAGATTCAATACGTTGCATGCAAAATATCCTTTATTTTTACTTAACTGAGACGTAACATTTTACGTAATGATACGTAGTAACACTGTAACTCAATGTTACGTGCAAAATGTCCGTTATTTTTACGTAACCGAGACGTAACATACAACGCAATGATATGTAACATTTTGATCAGGTAGGTAACAATATATATATATATATATGTATATATATATATATATATATATATATATATATATATATATATATATATATAGTAACAGCAGTTAACGCTGTGCCGGACAAATCCAGTGAGTGTGATGTCACGCACACTATGACAGCAGTTATGCTTGATTGCTACTCAGCCACCAATCAACAGCTCTTTTAAAATAATTAACTGACTTTGCTGTTACATCTTAAATTGGAAGTATATTCCATGTAT